TCGGTCATGTACACGGTCCTCACGTTTGCCATCGACAATTCTAATTGGAACTCGCCGTTCGTGTCGGCGAAATTTCGGCTGTACAGGTCCGACACAGGGATGTAGTTCCGGTTGCCCTGGGCGGGCGCCTCGTACGTGAACTTCACCCGTTTCCCGGAGAATCCCTCGTTCATGGAGAAGTGTTCCCGGTTCAGAAGGGTGAACGTGAAGTCCACGTAGACGCGCAGGTTCCTCGATGCCCCGCGCCATACCAGGTACGCGCCTAGAACCTAGATCAAGCGCCCGGATCAAGTGAATTTTTATTATAATTTTATTATTAATTTTTATTATTTTATTATTTTATTATAATAGTCGTAATTGTTTGTTTTTTTTTCAGAGAGAATGTGGTGTAGGTTGGGATATTCTTTTTTTTCTCTCTCTTTCTTTCGTCGATTGATCTCGAGAGGGAAGATTTTTGAGATGGATTTTTTTTTCGTTAATAAGAATCAATGAGTATGTATGTGAGTGTGATTATAAATTTTATTTTTTTTATCGTATGTATTTTTAAAGAAGGATTATTATCGTGGTTTTATTAAAGTTGGAATATTTTTTTTCTCTCTCTTTCTTTCTTTTGTCGATTGATCTCGAGAGGGAAGATTTTTGAGACAAATTTTTTTTTCATTAATAAGAATCAATAAGTATGTATTTGAGTGTGATTGTAAATTTTATTTTTTTTATCGTATGTATTTTTAAAGAAGGATTATTATCGTGGTTTTATTAAAGTTGGAATATTTTTTTTCTCTCTCTTTCTTTCTTTCGTCGATTGATCTCGAGAGGGAAAATTTTTGAGACGGATTTTTTTTTCGTTAAGAAAAGTGTCAATGTCAATGAATATGTATTTGAGTGAGATTGTAAATTTTATTTTTTTTATCGTATGTATTTTTAAAGAAGGATTATTATCGTGGCTTTATTAATGGAATGAATTATCATCGATCGCATTGGAGCTTTATTTTCGGTTTATCTCTCCAGGTATTTTATTCCCAATGGGGCGCTATTGCTATTGTTCGATCATGGATTATTAATGGTTGCTTTATTAATTTCTGATATTATCGTTATCTAATTATCGCGTTAATATCGGGGCATATTTTGGAAAACACGTCACTCCGCGCGGCGTTATTTGAAAAACCGATCGATTTCCCCTTTAAATTGAATCCATAAGCCTCGCCATTGCTTCGATTGATTTTTCAATCTGACGATGCGTCCATTTGAATTCTGTGCTTAATCTGAGCAAATTGTGCAGGTCGAGAACAAATGATCGATGAACAAATATCGATCTGATCCGATTAAATACGTAATTTTATTTCCCCTTCCCTTTTCTTTTTACTCCACGAATTCCTCACTCGAAGTAAATTATAACAGAGAGCGATCGATGATAAGAAACTGTGATGGACGATTCAAGAATTTTGATAAAATTACGAATCGAATGTTTTGTTTCGAATCGATAAAAAGATAAAAATTTTAATCGAAATAAGATATATATAAAAAAGATATTAATACTTTTAAGTGATTGAGATCTTTTCCGCGTTATCAAAAAAAAAAAAAAAAAAAAAAAAGGAAATTAGATGATATGGACATTCCATCCATGAAGAGACACTCTGCATGTGAATTTTATGCATGTATGAATAAATACTCCATTGTTCGAGAGATTTAACATGATTCGAATGGATTATGAATTCCTGGCACGAGTGAGGAAAGAGAGAAAGAGAGATAGATTTGGCTTCTGCATTCCACAAGGAAAATGAAAAAACACAGAACGAAGCAATATTTGCGGTTCGCGACTCTCGAAACAATTTCGCTTTATTTGCTCTCGATCGATTTTAATGATAAATTCTGATAAACGTATTTGGCTATTTTCCAAGCCAAATTTATCTATATACATATAGTTTAACTTGTCGCCCTATAATTTTGTTAATATCTTTAATATCTTTCGATTACGGATACAATTAATTTACAATCTTTATAGTTTAAATATTTTATTTTTGTTTATTCCAAATGGCAGATATCTAAGTCATTTACGTACGTATTTTATTTAAGCGTTTATTTAATTATTATACAACGATCACTTTTCATCACATTCATTACATCAAGAATAATCATTTCATTTAATTTTTAGGATAGGCAAGAATTTAAGAATTAAGAACGTTATTACTACACGAGAGGGTATATAATAAATATACCTTGTTCCCTCGCGAAAACGCAACGGACCATCTTTGAAAACCGCATACGAGCTCCTTGCTGGTTACGTCTCTTTCAGGATCCCGTACCACGCTTCTTGTGACGACGAAGGAGAAGACCCGCGTGCCACTGCTGTCAGGCAGCTGCGCGAATCTGTACAGCAAAGCCATCACCGCATCTCGAGGGCACAGCTAAACCGATGGTCCACGATTATTCCTCTACGTCCCTAAATATTCTCGTTCACCACTGTTCTGCAACAACAGAATTCCATAAATTTATACGAAACTTTCTTGTTTTTGATTTAAGTTTAATTAAATTAAATTATAAGGTATATATATATTTGTATCTTATTGTATCTTATTACTTATATATTAATCTTCGAGTGGTATTGTTATAAGTGATCAAGATAATAGCTCGATTGGAGTTTGAATTAGAGTATTATTATCAGTGAGTGGGATCATTGATTTAACACTCTACTGATCTTTGTCTTATCGATTATTGATCACTGAATATAATCAGAGATTAACTAATTCCTGATTAACCAAAGATTAACTATTAACCAAGTAAATAGGTATTGATTAAACACTAACTTATTATTGATTATTAGTTAAATTAGACCAATCACCGATTAAATCGTTGATCAATCATTAACTGTTAGTGGTTGATTCACCAATTATCCAAAGTTATTCCAAGTTTAAAACGGATATTAAAAAGAATATCTGAGCTTTACAATTACCACTCTTTCGAGATCTGTATTTGATAGGGGGCAAATATTCACATCTGATAATACCAAGTTCCCTGTACCAAAGCAAAGGGAACAGAGAAAAAGTTATGCGCGTAAATCCTCTTCGGTTATTCGAATGTAATCCCTCGTCGTGCGTGACAATTAATACCACAAGGAGCTTTACGAGGCGCGCCATATTATTTTAGAGTTGAAATCGGATTAAAATTGTTCTCTTCATCTAGTCTCAAAGGAACTCAAAAATTCTGAAAGATGAATTTTCCCTTTTTCCCTTTCCTCTCGCTAAAATCCATTTCCAAAATCGCGCGTTTCATTCAAGTTGATGAATTAATCATCGATTTGAAGTGATATTTAGAGAAAATTGCGTATTTTTCACTGAATTTGTGAAATTGCAAGAAAAAAGAATTATTGCCAAACATGATACCGTTTCCTTAAGTCGATACAATTCTGAAAAACAAGTATTATTTATTAGATAAAACGCATATTTTTAACTTTTTGAAATTGTAAGAAAAAAGAATTATTATCAAACACGATACTATTTCTTTAAATCGATACAAAAACGACAGGTACTATTTAGATTAGGTACGTTTAAATTGAAAATTAATTAATTGTAATTGAATGAATTCGTAATAAATTTCTTGTTATCTTTTTATTTTAGAATACGCGCCCAATGTAACACGGATGGAAGAAGTAAAAAATATTTTTTTCAAATAGAAACAAAGGAAGGAAAGTTTCTTTATTTCATAATATAGCCTGAAGCGTGCCGTATCTCAAAATGCAATTTTCAGCCAATCAAAATCGGCCGATATCTACGTGACACGATTAATTTCGTTCGCTTTAATTCGCTTTAATTTTTCGTGAAAAAAAATGAAAATGCGACAGTGATAGATTCTCCATTCAAATTCCCGGTCCAGACAGATTCAAAATTCGCGATGGAAAAATCTACAATATCATTGGTATCACGTGTATACTATTATATAGGTTAATCTTGATCCAAATGGATGAAAATTCTCTTCAATTTATCTCCGCTTCCCTCCCTCCCAGATCGGAAATCCCAGGTTGGGGTTGAAGGAGGAGGAGGGCCCGTTGTTCTTCAGGGACGGTATAGTTTATCGAGAATGGGGCTACATCTTCGCGAGGCTCGAGAAATTCCATCTTGCGGAGTTATATTTCGACAAGGCGATCAAACAGACCCAGGTCAACGATCTGAGAACGTATCTTGGGCTTGTCAAGGCACAGCTCGCCTACGCAAGGTTCAAAAGGGCGCTCAAGACCGAGGAAAAATGCGTGGAGCTAGGTTAACCTTCAACTGAGAACATGTGCCTTTTTTAAACGAAATTGAACGTCTTTCTATGAAAAGAATTTTTTCCTAGATATTTTCAAAATATTTTCGTATTCAGAATTATTCGAAATTTCGTACTCGAGACTCGGCTTTATCAGATATCAAACTTGATTCGTTGACGCGAAAATGAGAAATTTACGAAGTTTGGAAGTTTGGTGTCGAGAGAATCACCAATTTCCTTTTTATTTATTATTTAGTTGATTCTTATTTCCTTTTTCCTTTTTATTTAGTTGATTCCTCCAATTCCTCCAATTTAAAATATCCAATCGCGAGGAATTATTGTATAATACGATAATTCTTAATAATTTCGAACCTCTTTTTCTTCTTCTTCTTCTATTAATAATCGTATTTTTGAGTTAATTATATCTTAATTATATTTTTATTTTTAATCAATTTTTAATTATATTTTTGAGCTAATAATATATAATATATTATATATTTATCTACGAATCAACTTTCCATGAATTGAAGTTTCGAGTTTTATCAATTATTCTTTATTTTCAGATCCATCTTATTCACACGTGAAGCACATACAGTTGCAAACCCTGTTTGCCATCGGTGAGTTCGAATACAGCTTGATACACGCTCACCAAGGCTTTCAGAAACATCCGACCACGGATTTGGAGCACGGCATACTGCAAGGGAACGAGACCATCGAGGACTGCATCGGCATAGACACCTCGCCGATAACTCTTCAACTTCTTTACCCGTGGATACGCGAGCTCCAGGAGTATCGCAAGTATTTGGTGGAGAAGCTGAAGGAGGAGGTGGACGAGCTCGCAGGTGAATATAAAATATGAAAACTTTTTTTTTCAATCCATCCAGGATTTAAAGAATTTCCAAATGTTATGGGATTAATTAATAATTATTAATTAATAATTAATCTGTTGTAAATTAATGTTCCTCTCGAGCATCGATTCTGAAAGATTGACTTTCTGAAAAAAAAAAAAAATGATTCGATTTCGTTTCGTGGAGTTGTTTGATTTTTCGTCTCGATCTCGAGGAGGACGATTTTCGTTTAAAAAAAAAAAAGAGGGAAAGATCGAAGAACTTCGTTAAAAGCGTAACCGTGGTTCGTTAGAACGTTTTAATCTCTCCTCGTGACGTTACGTGCTTCAGTTGGTAACGTAATCGCGCTAACGAGCAATACTTGATTATAATACTAGTTCGATAAATCGAGAATCTCGAGCGATAAGCATTAAGCGTTTCGAAAAGATAATTAATTCGATTCGCTCGGAACGGTGATCAATATTACTTTGCTTTCAAATTTTAATCCTCTGATATAACATTTCGCTTCTAAATAAAATTATATTATGTAGGAATATAGATGGAAAGATAAGTGCTGAGATCCTCCTCCAATCCATTCTCTTTTTCTTTTGCAAGAGAAAATTCTAATTTTCGTATTTTCGAGATTTTTAAAATTCTCGTGCGATTCTTTGCGAACTGTAAGAAGAATTCAAAATTATATTATCTTTTAGGTATATAGTTAATAATAAAGTTAATTTCAGATATTGGAATATAAATGTAGAGATAAATGCTAAAATTCTTTTTTTTTCTGCAAGAGAAAATTCTAATTTTCTACGTATTTTTAAATTTTAAATTTTAAAGCGATTCTTTGCAAATTTGTAAGGAGAATTCAAAATTGTATTATCTTCCAGGCATATAGTTAATAATAAAGTTAATTTCAGATATTGGAATATAAATGCTGAGATAAATGCTGAAATCCTTTCTTTTCTGCAAGAGAAAATTCTAATTTTCGAAATTTCAAAATCTCGAGCGATTCTTTGCAAACTGTAAGAAGAAATCAAAAATTATATCTTGCAGGCATAGTTAATAATAAAGTTAATATAAGAATATAAGTACATAAATCCTGAAATCCTTTTTTTTTTCTGCAAGAGAAAATTCTAATTTTCTTACGTATTTTTAAATTTTAAATCTTAAAGCGATTCTTTGCAAATTTGTAAAAAAAATTTAAAATTATATTATCTTCCAAGCATAGTTAATAATAAAGTTAATTCGAAATATAATAATTCGAAATATATTCTAATTTCCTTACGTATTTTCGAGATTTTTCAATTTCAAATTCTCGAGCAATTCTTTGCAAACTGTAAGAAGAAATCAAAATTATATTATTTTTCAAGCATAATTAATAATAAAGTTAATTCAAAATATAATAATTCGAAATATATTCTAATTTCCTTACGTATTTTCGAGATTTTTCAATTTCAAATTCTCGAGCAATTCTTTGCAAATTGTAAGAAGAAATCAAAATTATATTATCTTCCAAGCATACTTAATAATAACGTTACTTCGAAATATAATAATTCGAAATATATTCTAATTTCCTTACGTATTTTCGAGATTTTTCAATTTCAAATTCTCGAGCAATTCTTTGCAAATTGTAAGAAGAAATCAAAATTATATTATCTTCCAAGCATAATTAATAATAAAGTTAATTCGAAATATAATAATTCGAAATATATTCTAATTTCTTACGTATTTTCGAGATTTTTCAATTTCAAATTCTCTAGCGATTCCTTAAACTTAAAAGATTTAGGAAAACGAGAAATTATATAATCTTGCAGGCATAGAAGAGGAGCAATCGAAGTTCAAAGTGAACGACCCTATTGCCCAGGCGGAACTATGGTTTAAAAAGTTGCAGCTCATCTTCTCCCAGATTTATATGGGACATTTGGCCAAGGACAAGGAATTCCTGCAATTTTTGGCCGAGAATCCCGAGAAATACGACTCGCCTAATAGAGAGAGCTCCATTATACTTAACGAGATGATATGGAGAAATTACAACAGGTGCCTTCGTAGACAAAACGTTCTGCGGATGCGGCAACCTCTTTACGTGATGTTGTTCAAGCGGAGGCTTAAACCGGAGGGGTTCAGAAGGGCCCTAGAGGCCGAGAAGAAGCTGAAAAAGAACCTCATCATCGTGCAAGCCGACTTCTTGCTGAATCGTCTGCACGAAATTAGAATGAAAAAGGATTACATCGAGTTCTTCAGGTAAAGAATAATAACCCTCGATCGTAACAATTTTTCTCTTTTTTCTCGAGAAATATCCAAAAAAATATATCTCTCTATTATTATTTCGAATAAATTTAGAATGGTGGACTGGATAAAGGACAAATTAGACTCGTTCTCCTCGAAGATGTTCCCCT